GTTAGTGACTGCATCTGTTCCTCCCTCCTTAAAAAAAGGTCAACAACCTAGAGCTGAATCCCTAAAAGACAGGGCATTTCCCCTCCCCCAAAAAGCTCAACAACTCTTTGACCCCAATTCCTAAAAAACGGGGGTAGATCACTGCCAGATTTTAATTTTGAAAGTATATCGCAGTCTCTCGGGAGTTGGCCACCCTTGCTCCAGACGATCCAGAAGGATGTTATGGGCAATTGTGGGCACCAATTGACGGAAGCCAGCCGTCATTTTGGGGTGCAAGGCATAGAAAAACACACACAGAGGCAGCAATATTTTCAGGAGGGTAAAAGCAGCTCCTTCCTCTCCCTTCTCCGATTTTATTTCTCCTTTGTTCTCCCCAGCCGCATGGCTGCATTCCAATGTTTCACGTTACCCCATCCGGCCATGGCTCCCCCCCTCGCCCCATTGGTCAATCACAGCTCAGAGGAAATACAACTCCTTTTAAGGTCAATACATTCTAATACATTGTAAGGCACGGACATGCTGGTCACCGAGGTCAGCAAGGCACCAGGTGGCGCTACAAGCCTTTGCCATGACTTCCTGGCTCCCACATGCCCTCTTTCTTTATATTTTAATCAGAATCATATATATCAGTACCAATACGGTTATATCGAGAGCGATAGGCGACTCTTGTGAGACCGGAAGCGGGCCGCGGACTGGAGAACGATGCAGTACATACAGAGATTAAAGAAGGAAGACATTGTATACAGCAACACAAAATAATGCAAATAACTACTATAATGATCACTATAATCAATAAATGTCGAAGCGAACTTCCATCCGGAAGCCAAGAATATAAGAATTCTGATTCCAAGCTGCATGGTAGGCTTCCTTTCTAGTTTATTAGCCATGCACTGGTGTCACTCCTATAGCACTGAGATTGGTCACTGAATGTTCCTGTAAGAGAACAAGAGCTATTAAACATGAATTTCAATGTATATTGACAGTTTGGATATATGCCCCATGATTCTCTCCCCTTTTTAATTTGAAAACAAATGGGGGCAGGCTCATGGAGGGTCAATTGTACTGGAGGCCAAAAAGTTTGCTTAGGGGATATAATATTAGTAAATTGAAAAGATCCATTGACAGGCACGCCATGAAGCATTATGCCTGAATGACTGGGAAAGGGTGGCATGTGCATACATAACCAACATTTAGAAGCATGCAATAAGCTGGTAAACTTAATCATATCTTGTACAAAAATATTATCCTTCCATATCTTATGATAATTTTCTCCCCTAAAAGTCTTATTCAACAACGCTGTTCTTATAGTTCGAGAGTGGCTGAGCCGTGGATACTGCCAGCCAGAGTAGGATTCAGGCGACAGCTGCTTGCCAGCCGATAAGGTGAAATATGGTGGTTTCAACTGGACTGTGTCGTCTGCTCCTCTTCCTTGTATAACGGTGCAGGATAGGATGGCAAGGCAAATGGTTAGGAAGGCAAACACTGCCAGATGCAGTTTGTGTGCAGCACCTCTAGGTGGCGCATGCGGAAAGGTTTCAATGCTTCACTCACAAAATGTTGACAAAGTGTAGGGGAGTTCCGCATGCCTTGAGGCAGGACAACCCACTGATATCGCTAGGTGGGCTGCGAATTGTTATATACTAGCAATGTAAAAGCAAACCGTTCCTGTCTGCTGGAGCCAGTGGGATGAAGATGGTTCAATGTGGCCAAAAGTCAATTGTTCAGAAATAAGCTGTTCAGAACAAAGCTGGTGCCATTGCTGCGGATTTTTCTTTTGGTGGAGGCCACTGTTCTACCCACACTGAGGTATCGGTGATCTTGGTTTGCCACGCTGGAAACGTTGTATCAGTGGCTACAGGCTGGTTTTTATTTTGCGCTGCCACCAGCAAATGAGCTGCTGTACCTACAGACTGACAAATGTGAAGCATGGCTACTGTGTCTGTGGCAGGATTGTGTATTATCGGGCGCAACGCAACCTTACAATCCTCATTTGCATTTTCAAAGGCCAATTGTTTCATAATTATTTGTTTGGCTTCAGGATTTTCAATTTGTCTACTCACTGCTGTAATCAGCCAGTCCATAAAGGAAGAATATGATTCTCTAGGTTCTTGTCTGATTGAACCCCACCTAGACTGGATACTGGTGGGTTCCGGGATTTTTCTCATTGCTTGTTGAGCAGCAAGAGCAGTATCCCTCAATAAGATCTGCAGCAGTGTGGCTTGTACTGAAGCCTGAGCAAAAGGCCCACGCCCCATCATAGCATCCATCACATCTGCGAGGGTAAGATTAGGATTATTCCCTCTTGCTTGTTGCAGTAAAGCAGGAGCATAAGCACGACAGGCGATTTCCCATTCATGGGCAAACAATACAGCAGCTGATGGGGGCAAAACTGTACGTGCCAAAAGCTTGATGTCATCTGGCACCAACAGCTGGGCTAATGTGGCTTCCAAAAGAGCCTGTGTGAATGGGGCTTGAAGTCCATTTGTCCTTACTGACAGTTGTAGCTCTTTCAAGATTTTAAAGTCAAAAGATTGGTGCTGGGCTTGAGTTCCTGCTGGAGCACCAGCAGGGGGCACAATAACAGGGAATGCCATAGTATCCTGAGATAAGGAACAGGCAAGGACTGCACGTTGAAAGGGGGTAGCTGGTTCTGCTGCTGAAAGAGCAGGGTCATTTCCAGCCAGACCACGGCATTTTTGCAGGATTGGGTCCTCTGGTGAGGAACTGTAGTCCGGAGGTTTGGGTTCTGGAGCTGCTGGCAAAGCGAGCATTGGAACCGATGCTAGCACAGCAGGCTGAATTAAAGAAGCTGAAGGTTGTGTTGGCAATGCAGCCAAGGAGATATTTTTTGGTGATAAAGAACCCATAGCATATCGAATTTTACACCAAGCATTTAAAATTCTAACACCTATGCTGGGATGTCCATGAAAATGTGTCCCGATCTTATCCCAATGTTTTAATTCCCATGTTCCATCCAAAGGAAACCAGGGACAATGTTAATGAATGCACAGAATAAGCTGTATCAAATCACCCTCTGGAACTTCCAATTTGTTGGAGGAGAGGAGAAATTTTAAGTCTTTAAAAAAATAATGTTGGGGAGTAGTCAAAGAGCTGCCCATGTCTCTAAAATAAGATAAAAAAAAGAAGAAAAGGGATCGAACTCACCTGGATCTTTTTTAAGATGCTTCAGCGCTGTGGAACCCTTGCCGGGCGTAGTGAGCCGATGATATCCACTGCTTGGATCAAAAATCCTCTCACAGTTTCTTTTAAAATCCTCTTAGTCTGCCTCAGACTGTTTGCTTTAAATTGCTTCTTTTTTCTTTTAAAAACCTCAGCCGTATCCTTTTATTCAGCCTCACACGGGGCACCACTTGTGGGCACCAATTAACAGAAGCCAGCCGTCATTTTGGGGTGCAAGGCATAGAAAAACACACACAGAGGCAGCAATATTTTCAGGAGGATAAAAGCAGCTCCTTCCTCTCCCTTCTCCGATTTTATTTCTCCTTTGTTCTCCCCAGCCGCATGGCTGCATTCCAATGTCTCACGTTACCCCATCCGGTCATGGCTCCCCCCCCTCGCCCCATTGGTCAATCACAGCTCAGAGGAAATACAACTCCTTTTAAGGTCAATACATTCTAATATATTGTAAGGCATGGACATGCTGGTCACTGAGGTCAGCAAGGCACCAGGTGGCGCTACAAGCCTTTGCCATGACTTCCTGGCTCCCACAGGCAATGGTATCAAAAGCCACTGAGAGATCCAGCAGAACTAGGAAACAGTTCTCACCTTTGTCCCTAGCCTACCAGAGATCATCGACCACTGCAAACAAGGCATTTTCAGTCAAATGACGACTGGGTCTGCATCTTCCAGGCATGTCTGGAGTTGTTCAGCAACCACTTGCTCAATCACCTTGCCCAAGAATGGAAGATTTGAGGCTGGGTGATAGGTGGCCATATTGACCAGGTCTAAAGATGTTTTTTTAAGAAGCGGTTTAATAACCGTCTTTTTCCGTGGGTCTGGGAAGGCCCCCTCACAGAGAGAAGCATTCACCACCCCATGAAGCCCATCATCCAGCCCTTCCCGGCTTGCTTTTATCAGCCAGGATGGACAGCAGGTCCCATCCTGGACCAGATGGAGACCTGCAGGCACTCACAGCAGGGGTTGCCTGCAAATGTGATGAGCATCCCCTCAGTTCCTTCATCCAAGTCATTTCTAAAGACGTTGAACAACAACGGGCCCAGGACAGAACCCTGCAGCACCCCTCGTCACTTTTCCCCAGGATGAGGAGGAACCATGAAGGAAGACTGTTTGGGTTCGGTCAGTCAAATCCACCTAACAGTTACCTCATTCAGCCCACATTTTACCAGCTTCCTCACAGAAAGATCACGGGAGACTTTGTCAAAATTTGCCTTACTGAAATCAAAACACACTACAAAATTTGTAACTCCATCCAAAAAGAGGGGAGGAGAGATTTCTCTGGCTTGACTTGTTTTTGGGAAGGCCATGCTTTCATCCTTTGTGTTTCTGTTGTGAAATTTTCAGGTGAAGGGCACATAAACTTTAAAAATGATAATAAGGATATTGACAAGCTGGAACATGTGCAAAGGAGGGCGATTCATGTATTTATTTAATTTGTATACCACCCGACCCAGTGGTGCTAACTTGAATAAAATATAGGTGGGGGCCAGGTAAGGCCCACCTTGCACAATCAATGACATGATGCATGCACGCCATTTGAATGGCAATGCCTACCAACTGGGGTTTCCCAACTGGTTGCAAATGGGATCAGTTCCGGAGCCATGTTCACAACCTGAAAGGAACACAATCCACATCTGTGTGTCTGCGCATGCGCGGGTCGCGATTTGCAGCTTCTGCACATTCGTGTGATGTCATTTTACGTGTCTGCACATGTGTGAGCGGCAAAACCTAGAAGTAACCCTTTCAGGCACTTCCGGGTCACCGCGGGATGCAACCTGAAAAGACGTAACCTGAAACAAACGTAACAAGAGGTACGACTGTATATTATGGGGGGGGGGCAAAGACCCATCGGCCTCTAAGTCGACTCCTGTTCCCACATGTCTCAGGGTGGTTACAACATAGAAAGACAATATAAAAACACAAAATATACATCTGTAACCCCCCTCCCTACCACATTTTAAAAGGGCATTAGATGTCAATCAGCCAAAGGCCTGGTTAACAAGGTACGGATTTGCCTGGCTCCTAAAGCTATATAATGGTTTTTCCAACGTTTGTATGAATTATCTGATGCATAGTGAGATGGGAGCTCTGACTGAAGCTCTTTCCACATTCCAAGCACTGATAGGGCTTCTCCCCTGTATGAATTCTCTGATGGGAAGTGAGATAGTGGCTGTAACTGAAGCTCTTTCCACATTCCACACACTGATAGGGTTTCTCTCCTGTATGAAGTCTTTGATGGGAATTGAGAGAGGAGCTCGTACTGAAGCTCTTTCCACATTCCACACACTGATAGGGTTTCTCTCTTGTATGAATTTTCTGATGAAAAGTGAGATCAGAGCTCTGACTGAAGCTCTTTCCACATTCCACACACTGATAAGGTTTCTCCCCTGTATGAATTCTCTGATGGAAAGTGAGAGAGGAGCTCTGAGTGAAGCTCTTTCCACATTCCACGCACTGGTAGGGTTTCTCTCCTGTATGAATTCTTTGATGGGAATTGAGAGAGGAGCTTGTACTGAAGCTCTTTCCACATTCCACACACGGATAGGGTTTCTCCCCTGTATGAATTCTCTGATGCATAGTGAGATTGGAGCTCTTACTGAAGCTCTTTCCACATTCCACGCACTGATAGGGTCTCTCTTTTGTATGAATTTTATGATGGGAAATGAGAGAGGAGCTCTGAGTGAAGCTCTTTCCACATTCCACGCACTGATAGGGTTTCTCCCCAGTATGAATTCTCTGATGGGAAGTGAGATGGTGGCTGTAACTGAAGCTCTTTCCACATTCCACACACTGATAGGGTTTCTCCCCTCTATGAATTCTTTGATGGGAATTGAGAGAGGAGCTTGTACTGAAGCTCTTTCTACATTTCAAACACTGATAGGGTTTCTCTCTTGTATGAATTTTATGATGGGAAGTGAGAGAGGAGCTCTGAGTGAAGCTCTTTCCACATTCCATGCACTGATAGGGTTTCTCTCTTGTATGAATTTTATGATGGGAAATGAGAGAGGAGCTCTGAATGAAGCTCTTTCCACATTCCATGCACTGATAGGGTTTCTCTCCTGTATGAATTCTTCGATGGGAACTGAGATAGGAGCTCGTATTGAAGCTCTTTCCACATTCCAGGCACTGATAGGGTTTCTCTCCTGTATGAATTCTTCGATGGGAAGTGAGATCCGAGCTCTTCCTGAAGCTCTTTCCACATTCCACGCACTGATAGGGTCTCTCCCCTGTATGAATTCTCTGATGGGAAGTGAGATGGAAGACCTGACTAAAGCTCTTTCCACATTCCACACACTGATAGGGTTTCTCCCCTGTATGAATTCTTTGATGCTTGGTGAGACTGCAGCTTGTACTAAAGCTCTTTCCACATTCCACACACTGATAGGGTTTCTCCCCTGTATGAATTCTCTGATGCTTAGTGAGATTGGAACTCTTCCTGAAGCTCTTTCCACATTCCATGCACTGATAGGGTTTCTCCCCAGTATGAATTCTCTGATGGGAAGTGAGATCAGAGATTTGTCTGAAGCTCTTTCCACATTCCACGCACTGATAGGGTTTCTCCCCTTTATGAATTTTCTGATGGGAAGTGAGATTGAAGCTTTTCCTGAAGCTCTTTCCACATTCCATGCACTGATAGGGTTTCTTTCCAATGAGAATTCTTGGTTGGGAAGTGAGAGAGGAACTCTCACTGCTGCTCTCTCCAAATTCCAAATTTTTGCATGGCTTCTCCTCTCCGGGGTTTTTGTCATGTTCATCCTTGTTCTTGTTTTCCAATTCATCAAAATCTGCAATGGAGACCAAAAAGGGATTAGAGCCTCAGGAACAAATCAAGAAGAACTGAAGGGAGTGGGGTGTTTGTTCGTTGCCTTTGTTGGTTGTCATTAACCAACATTTTTATTAATATATTCTGATGGATTGATGAATGTTGATTTGTTTGGTATACAATAGTGGCCAAAATTGTGGAAGCCTTTTGGGGGGAAAGTGTATTTCAGATATTTGATGGCTCGTAACGCCACTTTTTTGAGTAATACCTTAGAATTATGTATCAATGGAAAGATAATTTAATGAAGAATGTAATCTGTACCTGTATTCTATCAAAAGTCAAAACTGAATAACCAGAAAAAGGAAGCACAACTTGCTTAGGTTGACTTTTGACAGTGTGTTGTGTGATGGCTATCATGTTGGTTGGTTATTTGTTGTTTTTTCATTTAGTGGTTTGTAAAACATAATAAAATTAAAGAAATGGCACAAGAAGTTGACTGGACACCCAGAAAGTGATGTAAAATAGTACTATTAAGTGAAAAGGGCTACAGTTATGAAGAAATTAGAAGAAAGATGGAGGATTCTTTTTCTTTTTCCAATTTTATTTTAAAAAGTACTGTATTTTTTGCTCCATAGGGCGCAGCTAGTTTTTGGGGGGGGAATCAAGGAAGAAAACTTATTTCTCCCCCCAGCCCCAAAGAGTAAAGAAGCCAAGAAAACGAGCGGGATCCATCCCACTGGCTGTCTTGGCTTTCTCTTTAGCTGCGCCAACCTCTCCAGCCGGGAGAGGCTGCCTACGGCTTTGGCAGAAGGCAAGACAGTGAGCGAGATGGATCCCGCTCACTGTCTTGGCTTCGTTTTTAGCCGTGGGGCTGGGGCGGGGTCCCCCGACCCCAGCCCCCAGAACAGGTCCAGGAGCAGCGGCAAGATTGAGCGCAACCTCACTGCCACTCCCGGAGCTTGCGGGGCTGGGGATGGGCTTCCCCTGACCCCAACCCCCAGAACAGGCAGCTATCCGAAGCCTTCCGAGCACAGCGGGAACTCCTGCCGCACTCGGAAGGCTTGCGGATAGCTGCCTGAAGCCCCCGGAGTGCAGCCTTTGATGCCTCCGCAGAGAAGCGGGGTGAAGGCACCCCGCTGCCCTGCGGAGGCTTTGCACAGCTATCCCAAAGCTAGAACAGCGAGACGGAGCTCGCTGTTCTGGCTTTGGGCTTAGTCACGCAGCCTGCATTCGCTCTACAGGATGCACACACATTTCCTCTCAATTTTTGGAGGAGGACAAGTGTGTCCTATAGAGCGAAAAATACGGTATATAGCATTTTATTAGCGTGGGAAACCAAAGATGAAGAGGTTAAATCAGTCATGTTTAAATGGGCTCAGTATGTGGGACACAACATTCAGGTTGCAAGTTGGGGGAAATTGTGGAAAGTTGACATAAAATTTACAGATTGTATATTATTAAGAGAAATTTACATGAAAATGATGTATAGATGGTATATCACATCAGTGAAAATGGCAAAGATGTTTAAGAAAGAAAATAAGAGATGCTGGAGATGTAAAGAAAAGGAAGGAACATTTTATCATATGTGGTGGGAATGCAAATGCATTAGAAAATATTGGGAAATGATATATAATGAACTGAAAAAAATGTTTTAAATGAGCTTTGGTAAACATCCTGAAGCCTTTCTGTTAGGTATCTCAAATCAAGAGCTGCCAAAAGAAAAATGGACATTATTTATGTATGCTACAACAGCGGCAAGAATCTTGACTGCACAAAATTGGAAGATGGAAGAAATACCATCAAAAGAACAATGGTAAGAAAAACTGATGAATTATGCAGAATTGGCTAAGCTAACAGAGAAACTATGAGAGAAGGACAAAAAGGATTTTGAAAGAGTTTGGGAACCATTTACAGGTTATTTGCAGAAACAACAAAATGGATTGGACTCACTGGCAGGGTCTGAATAAACATTCACAACTTTATTATAGTAATAGAAATTTTAATAAAATGATAAGGAAATTTACTTTTATATAAAGCAGGACACAATAAATAAAACTAAATAACTCAGTAGAGGGGGAGTTTGTTGGAAAACTAGCCCCATCTGGAGAGGCTGTCCCCTCTCCCTGCTCCCGGAGCTGGTTTACCGGTGATCTGCCTCTGGCTGCGTTCCCAGACAGACCAGGGAGATCTTGATATAGGCAACATTTCCCAGCGTGGAAAATGCACGCCCACTTCTCCCCCTTCACAGGGGAAAGAAGAGTAGTCAGAAATCTATTTACATATTGTTTATTTCTGACATTACAGCTCTACAGAAAACGTGTCCGATCATTTCAGTTTCCATCCAGCAAGTGACAAAGACTTCCTTTACAAACACAACAGGAAGGTCTCAAATTACACACTGGACACAGACTTCCAAAGCCTGTGAACTTCCAGGAATTTACTTTCCCACAGCTAGTCATATCACATGATGTCAACAAGCTGGCTGTCTGCAGCTGCGATGTTCTCATATTGTAACAGAGTTGAGGGAAGTCCGGAGGACGGGAGGGAGAACAATTGTATATAACATGATGATTGAGATACTTTTATTTGTTATAAAATTCAATAAATACTCATTTTTAAAAAAGAAAAAAGAAGAAGAAAGATTGAGGAAAACTTAACCAAAGCTGGCCTTTCTATATTTGTGAAGAGGTATAAGGAGACTCAGTCACTACAAAATCAGACTGGTAAAGGAAGGAAAAGGTGCACAACAGCAAGTGACGATCGAAGGATGAAGAGACTGTGCCTACGTGACAGAAGAAAATCATCTGGGTGTTTACAAGATGACATGGGGCAATGTAAGGTGAAGTTGAGTGCAAGGACTGGTCTAAATGCTAGAATTACAAGGGAAAAGCCATTATCTCTCAAGCAAAGGTGGAAAAGATTAAACTGGCTAAAACCCATGGTAACTGGACAGCGAAACAATGGGACAGTGTTATTTGGAGCGATGAGACCCCAATCTCCTTGCTTGGTAGTGAGGGCATGAAATACGCGAGGAGGAGAATGGGAGATTTACATCCTACTTGCATTACACCGACCGTGAAACACCCAGATAGTGTGATGATCTGGAGTTGTATGACAGCAAAAGGTGTGGGCAGAATTTGTGTCATTAATGGGAACGTCAATGCCCCCAAATACATAAATCAAATACTTGAGCCTGAACTGAAGTGTTCTGAATGTGAAATCATATTCCACTGCTGGAATGGCCTGGGAATAGGCCAAGCGAAAATCTTGAGAGCCGACTAAAGAAACTTGTTAGTCAGAAGCAACCCAGCAATAAAGCCCAATTAATAGAGGCAATAATTCAGTCTTGGTTTCACATTATTGCAGCTGCAGAACTAAAAAACTTGCTTCACTCCATGAGAAGGCGTTGTAAGGCCAGAATTAAAGCTAAAGGTTAACAAAGTTAGTATTAATTGACATGGTGAGAATATCTATATATCTCCTTTTTTCTAAGCGTTTCACTTTTCTTTTTAATGACTGCTGTTCTAATAAACACTCCTTCATAAAAGTTATTGCATTGCAATCTTCATTAAATTATCTTTCCTAGGGTAAGGTAAAGGTAAAGGGACCCCTGACCATTAGGTCCAGTCGTGGCCGACTCTGGGGTTGCGGCGCTCATCTTGCTTTATTGGCCGAGGGAGCCGGTGTACAGCTTCCAGGTCATGTGGCCAGCATGACTAAGCCGCTTCTGGCAAACCAGAGCAGCGCACGGAAACGCAGTTTACCTTCCCGCCGGAGCGGTACCTATTTATCTATTTGCACTTTGACGTGCTTTTGAACTGCTAGGTTGGGAGGAGCAGGGACTGAGCAACGGGAGCTCACCCCTTCGTGGGGATGCGAACCACCGACCTTCTGATTGGCAAGCCCTAGGCTCTGTGGTTTAACCCACAGCGCCACCCGTGTCCCTTTCCTACGGTATCACTTCCCAAAAAAGTGGTGTTATGAGCCATCAAACACACTTTTTAAAAAGGTTTCCATGATTTTAGCCACTAGTATAAGTTGTTCAATTAAAGTTAATATACTTTTTATATGGGATTGATGTTTCATGTGTATATATGTGTTGGAAGCCACCCAGAGTGGCTGGGGCAACCCAGCCAGATGGGCAGGGGATAAATAAAAATTATTACTATTATTATCACTGCTAGTACTACCTGAGATTCAATCAGCCTGGCTCTTCTCTGGGACGGATTTTGTTTGGCCCAGTCATGGCATCCCCTCCATCGCCAATGTCAGTCGTCTCTCTGGTCAACCCAAGACTGACAGCAGCAAAATCAAAAACAGAAACAGAAAACCTGACAGAAACTACTTATCTTTCCTAACAACTCTGAAGTTGACATTTAAGATGCCTGGGCAGTTCTGACCAGCCGAATCATAGTATAAAAAGGCAGAACTGGTGGAAGATTTTTGACAGAAAAAACTGTAATTTGCTGTTCAAGGCTTATTGTGGGGGTGTTAGGTTCCCAGGTGTTGTAGGGGGCGCTGTTGGGCTCTGTGAAAATATATGAGGTTTGTCAAATAGAGGTATTTTTTGAATTTCCAGGCAGATAGGACGATTCCACAGGGAGCCTTACCAAGAGAGGCCACGATCCCACGATTCTCCTCCATGACGTCCTTATGCAGAGCTCTCTGGTCAGGATCCAGCAACGCCCACTCCTCGTCCGTGAAATGAACAGCAACATCTTCAAAGCACACTGGACCCTAAAAGAAAAAGGGAAATGTCCTCCTCTGAGACAGCAGAAATATGATCTTCTACACAATGCTCTGTTCTTTCCTTCCTGTTAATGCAGCTGCTGGGAGAGATCATCAGGAGGTTTGGGCTGGGTGTCCATCAGTATGCGGATGATACCCAGCTCTACCTCTCTTTCAAATCAGAACCAGTAAAGGCGGTGAAGGTCCTGTGTGAGTGCCTGGAGGCGGTTGGTTGGTTGGTGGATGGATGGTGGTTAACAGATTGAGGTCGAATCCTGACAAGACAGAAGTACTGTTTTGGGGGGACAGGGGCGGGTGGGCGGGCGTGGGGACTCCCTGGTCCTGAATGGGGTAATTGTGCCCCTGAAGGACCAGATACACAGCCTGGGAGTCAATTTGGACTCACAGCTGTCCATGGAGGCGCAGGTCAATTCTGTATCCAGGGCAGCTGTCTCCCAGCTCCATCTGGTGCACAGGCTGAGACCCTCCCTGCCCACAGACTGTCTCGCCAGAGTGGTGCATGCTCTAGTTATCTCCCCCCTGGACTACTGCAATGCACTCTACGTGGGGCTACCTTTGAAGGTGACCCGGAAACTACAACTAATCCAGAATGCGGCAGCTAGACTGGTGACTGGGAGCAGCCATTTTTTTGTAAATAGGTGGTACTCCACCTTGTGGTTTTCAAATCATTCTGCCTACGCAACATCCCAGTTTCCCGGATGGAAGAATCCACTTTCTCTTCTCCTCATGTGTTGTTCTGGGGAGGTTCCCTCCCAGTGCCCTGGAGCCAAATTCAAGGGGTTCAAGGGAGCATGGAGAGGGGGAGGAGTGGGGGGGGGCAGGCTCCATTTTGCAGCAGATGGGGCTAGCTAGGAAAATCCTGGCCACTATTTGTAATCATCTGTCCACTGCTTAGAAGCTTATTTTAGCATTCAGTGTTCAATATAGAACTAAAAGAAGCCTAGTCTGGATGGCCATCTGTCTTGGAGGATCTAGCTGAGATTCCTGCAATGCAGGGGGTGGGACTTGATGACCCCTGGGGTCCCTTTCAACTCTAGAATTCTATGAAAACAGCAACTACAGATGAATCCTACTGGCGACATTCAGAAGCCTCATGTCACAGAGTTATCTGGGCAGGAAATCCCACAGTACACAGCTGGAGTTAACTCTTTCTTAGCAAGAACACAATATTCACAGACTTGGCTGAGTTTCAGGTCTCATGAGAACAGCAGCTCATTCCCTGAGGTGGTGTTTCCCCTGCGCAGTAACACTTTGGCACAGTCAGCGTGGTATTTACAGTCTTTATTACACATATACAAGAAACAGCTACAGTTCAGAATTAGGCGTCCAAACCTGTTGAGTCAGATTCGGGGAGCGGCTTCCTACAATTCCCGCACAAGATGTCTTTGATCCTTACGTTTCATTTCCCTTCTTGTCTGTGCTGATTTGAAAGCCCCCTCCCTTCCGGAGTCTCAGTTTCCTTCCTGAGCCTCTAGGTGGTTGAGGGGCTCTTCAGCCTCCCTGAGCCCCGGCTCCCCCTGACCGGTCTCTGCCCCCTGTTCTGCCTCTTCTGTCCATTGCTCCTCCTCCTGACAGCTGGCACCACAGAGTTATCTGGGCAGGAAATCCCACAGTTCACAGCTGGAGTTAACTCTTTATCAGCAAGAACACGATATTCACAGACTTGGCTGAGTTTCAGGCCTAATGAGAACAGCAACTCATTCCCTGAGGGTATGTGAAGGCCCCTGGCTCCCCATAGCTTTCCAAGTCCCCTCCTCTCTGGGGTTTATTGCAAGCGATGCACCAGTGCACCAGTATGCAGCTTGCCTTTTCTCCTCCATTGTCAGACATCTCCTGGCTCTGAGAGACAAGCAGGGAGGGTGGCTTCTGGCAGAAGGAGAGGGAGCCCCTGGTGGCTCCTCCTCCTCCTGACTCACCTCTGCCTCTCGACCTCCCTCCTCCACTCGCCTCCCCCCTCTTCTGCCTCTGATTCTGGACTGCATTCTGCCACAGAGTCTCCCAGCTCACTAAGCCCTGTTTCCCCTTCAGCTTCTGACACCTCCTCTTCCCAGGCTTCTCTCTCTTCTCCCTTTCATTGCTCATCCTTCCTCCACCTCCACTCCTTGGGCTCTGAGTCGTCTTCCCTTCCTGGTTCCCCAGCTGCTTCCTCCCACCATTCCTCTGTGCCCAACCAGTCCATGACATTGCTCCATCCCTCGGCCTCTGTCCCCACCATGCAGCTTCCCCTGACCTGATCTGGTTCCACAGCCACTGTTTCACTTCTGCCCTCATGAAAAGATGGATAAGGAGGTGTTGCCGGCATCCTTCTGCCACCTGCAAGAGAAAAAAGGTAAGCAGGACACCAGGAGTGCCTGCTTCTCTCACAGGTGAAACAGGGCATTTGTAACTACAGATGGGCCTTTCAGAAAGCCTTACCTGCTGAGTGCATTTGGACGTTTGTGCCCATTTCATGTTAGTTTTGCAAAACTACTTCTCCTTTCCTGTTAGAAATGAGCACACAGCAGAGATAAGAGTCCGGGAACCCAGCCATATTTTAAAAGGCTTTATTTCTTCTTGACATTATTTACAGCAGTTCAAAAGTGCGACTCGATCATGGTGGGTAGTTGTCCCGACTAACTTCCTTCCGTTTTGGGGGCCAGCATAGCCAATGTCGAAGCCCAACCCCCCTCCTTCCTCTATGCCGAGAGGTGCTTGCCCTCGGAAGTTCATCCTCCCTCTCAGATTCACCCCCCTCTGACCCCTCTTCTGAAGACGAACAGCTGCTGATCAAAGGAAGTCTCTTCCCAGGCCCTCCTCCCTTTCTGTCTCCAGTTCCCTGACACTTCCTTTGGACCCTTGGTCCCAACTGTCCCCCCCCCCCAAAAAAAACCCACCAAGATGAAAACAACCCACAGATTAGTTGGGAAAGCAACAGAATGAGACCAAATGGAGAAAAGCCACCTTCCTCCTTACCCAGTGGCCTCTCTCTGGTGTCCAACGGAGGCCTCTCTGCCTCACAGGAATCCAGGTCCATTTCTGCAAAGAGATCCTTTCCCTGAGAAAGAAACAAGGATTCAAAACAGAGAATGGGGAGAAATACTAGAAAGAGAATGACAAAGACTTGAAGGGTGTGAGATCTCATTCCATGGATGCTTTCCCAGAAAATGGATGGGCCATCAGCAGAGCATTATGGGATATTCTCTGTCCTGTTTGGAGCCCCTTGGGAGTATCCAGAGGAAAGTCTCTCTCACCTGCTCTCTCTCCTCTGCCTGACTCAGGAGAAAACCTTCGGCCAGGGCCACCGCCTGGGAACTGGTCTCTGCTCCACATTCCCTCACCCAGCTCTCCATCTCCAGGGGAAGGACAGCCAGGAACTGCTCCAAGATCACCAGGTCCAGCATCTCAGCTTTCGTGTGCCTTTCTGGCTTCAGCCACTGACGGTCAAGGTGGTGGAGTCGGCTGCAAACCTCTCGGGGTCCTTTGGCCTCCTGGCAGCAGAACTGCCTCACCTGCTGGCTCTGCACCTCTGAGCGGAGGGTGTCCTCCTCACCCAGGATCTTCTGCACAGAGTTTTCCCAGAACCCCCCACTGCTCCCAGTTTGGATGGCATGGCCTCTTTCTGTTCCAGGGCCAGCTGAGTCTCGCTCATCCATCTGTGCTCTCAGGAAGCCTCTGAGAGATTGGAAGGAACCCTTTGGTCTTCTGCCAGGTTCTGTCCGTCTAAATGAGAAGCTCTAGCAAATCCTACAAAGCAAATACATTGTTCTGTTACAAAATCTGTAGGACAGGGGGGGAAATGGTTCCCTAAGCAAGCATGGATGAGTCTTGCTTGGAACCAGGGCTGGACTGCACCACATCTCAGACAATGCGCTATCTTTTTGAAAAGAAAGAGGAGGAGGAAGAGGAGAAGAAATAAGTCTCTAGCCTTCAAGCAATGCAGAATGTGGAGGGAACTGAAGGGATTTCTGTCAGATTAATCAGCCTGGTTTCTCCTGCCTTCCAGTCAATGCATGAAGTCAGAACCGACTGACAAGGGAGTTATTTGTATCTTGTGAAAAATGGATGTTTAGCTGTAGTGGGGGTCCTCACCTGGGGGTCCTCAGGAGTTGCTCCCCACCCCCACCCTCACCCCCACTCCCCTGCTTCTGTCTCCTTTTCTTGCATTTGGACTCTCTGCTGCTCTCATGACAGACTCCTGGGGTGGGGTCCCTTTTTCTTTGCTCTGAGGGCCAGGTATGTTTCTGGCCAACCCCCTGAGGGCCAAGTTCGCAGGGCCAAAAATGCCTCCCTTGAAATTTAGGCTAAGGTGCCTGGAGTCTCAGTGAGTAGCAGCGCCCATTTCCGGCTGCTTTGCCAGCAACAATCCCTTTGGGGCAGAGAGGATGTGGTCCTGGGATGCCCTGCTCTGGGTGCGAGGGGACTGCTGCAGTGGCCTCCGTGGGGAGCTGCCCTGGGAGACACTGGGAAACTGGTCCGCAATGCAGCAGCCAGACTTTCCTTCCTCCCTCCCCGTGGGGTTTTTTTTTGGGGGGGGGGGGCTAGTCCAGCTCCTCCTCCAGCTTTGGAAAACCATTTGCAGATGTTTCCTCTGTTGTGCAATGAGGCTGAGCGACGTCACACCGAGTTAAAGTCCCAGGGACTCCTTTCTTTACAAAAGGAAGATTTCGGGGGAGTCATTGTTTTTCTGAAGGGGGGGGCGGAGGGTCAAATGAGTTTGGGATCCTCTGATCTGCAGGAAGGAGAGCGTGGCAGACCTGGCCCCTCCCTGGCAGGACCCTCTCCTCCCTGACTTGGGGTCCCCCCCCTGCAGGAGCAGATCAGGCCCCCCAGGCCCCCTCCCCTGCTGCAGTCCTGGGACCCCCATCGTCTCCCCACTGCACCCTCTGGGGGGAGAGAGAGGAGACTCACCCTTTGTCAACCTTCCC